CTGGTAATTGTCTTTTAGCAAAAAGTTACCAAGAACAAGTAGTTAGCTCATAACTTTGAACAAATTTTTCTTTTTAGTATCAGCTTTGTAATTAGTTATTCCTTGCCCTTTGCCTGAGTAGGGAGGAGACTTCTATATGTTGACTTTATATGCTGTCTGCTCCGGAAGGAAAATGTTTGGAGTCTGGGATCAACTCTCAGAAATTAGTCTTGAAAAAAAAGACTTGAAATTTCAGTCTAACAGTTTGAGGTTTCACCTACTTATGTTACAGCATAAATGTTTTAGTATAAATGCAGACTATTTATGTAGCTATTATTCAAAGTAGTTACTAAGATCCATTTCTTGTATTTGTGCTGCTATTAGAAGGTCAGGAAGATGAAGTTGCTGTAGAAAAGTGCTGCTGAGCCATCTGAAGCAACATGGGAGCTGTCAAGCCAGACAACACAAAACTGCCAGTTATTGTCAATATTTCTTTTTGTGGTGGGTACAGAACTTGATCTCACTGCACCCGCTCAAGAGACAGTTTGGATGAGTTTCAGCTGCTTGGCTTGTAAAATGTGGCTGCGGCTGCTGGTTTTAAATAGAGTAAGAGTGGACTCATCCTCAGTGCTCCCCAGGCCCTGCAGTCTCCGTGTTCGCATCCTGAAGGGTTGAAGCCTGCTTCCCCACTGCAGGAATGCTCTCCAGCTGGCTAGAGGTGAGATTTTGGATCCCTTCCCTTCTCCCTCAGTGCTTAGTTTTTCCTACTGGCTGGCTCCAGGCAGCTTCCTGCTCACCAGATTGCTTCTCTCACTGCGTTACATCGCACAGGGAACTCGGGCACCTGGGTGAGTTTGCATTTCATGGCCGGCTCCAAGGAGTCAGACGCTGCAGAAACAAACCTGTGTGTCCCTGAGACCTGTATCTGTGCTATGCTCTTCTCACCAGTGATGGGACATAAGCTCTGATGGGGTCAACTGTTTGTCTTCACACAGGGTGCAGAGACAAGTAGAATTATTATATACTCCTAATTTGCTGTTGCATAAAGTGGTGACCGTGTGGCAGTGGTATTTCAAGTGACACAGCATTTATATCTGAACTGTGAGTCTTAGGTGTGCAGCTGGAAGCTGCTTTTATTTGCTGTCCCTGGTCCTGTGCCCCTTTGGTTGGGAGATACTCCCATCTTAGCAGTTGGGTCATTTCAGATGGATTCCCTACCCTTATTTACTGCATTATTTTGTTGATTTTAAAAATGGTCTTCTGTAGTTTTGCCTCTCATTTCTGCCATGCTAAAGACACACCTGAAGCAAATACATCTAAGAAATTATTTTTCTGCTGTAGTTGTCACAGGGCAAGCTACAGCCAGGGGCTAGGTCTATGCCCTACCCCCAGTTTGGAGAGAGCTGTGTACTGAGGCAGGTTAGGGTACTGCTTTTGAGGTGCAAACAACCCTTTTTTTGTTCTTTTACTATGCACAGAGAAGACACACAGTGACAACAGTTTAGGAGCAGCAGTAAAGTGCTTTTAGTCACTGTTACCCCAATGGCAAGGGGGGACTCGCGCTGCACCCTGTGATTTCTGGAGAAAAGTGGTCTGCACCCCTGAACAAGACCAAAAACCCAAGCAGCTTCTGACTGGGAGTAAATTCCTGCTAAAGCTTTGTTTGCAGTGCACTGTCGTCAGTGTGCCTTCGGGGCTGAGCACTGAGCCAGGTATTACTGTGGTTTGTTAGCCAGAAACCAAACCCTTGCAGGCAGCTCTGTCCTAAAGATGAGCTGCTGTCTCTGATGCTGTATGGGCTGGGACAGATGAAGCATTAGGCACACACAGATTAGATTAACAGCCTGAAGGATGCTCCTCTGCCCAGCAGATTTAAACCCTCGATAGCTTTCTTTCAAACAAAAGCAAATCAGGTGCCATTGCTCCTGATAAATGGACCCTCTGGCCCAGTGTGCTTCAATAAAATATTCCAGGAAATTACCGTGGCAACTTGCCTGGAAGATTTCCTAAACCAATGCAGCCAGCTCCCTCCAAACTGCTGTGCATCACCTCCCCTCTCTCCCTGACTCCACAGCCATACTTAAGACACTGCAATTTAATAAGCTCAGTGCAGCTGGCACCAATTTGGAAACTATTGTGCATAGGACCAAACTGCCCTCACTCCCAAGAGCATTTGGCCTTAGATGAAAGCACAAGCTGAACTGGGACCGAGTTTCTAAGCAGCTTTCCATTACATTTTTACATACTGAGGGTCAGAGGTGATATTGCAGTCCATTATTGTGCCAATTTCACAGATCAATAGGTAAATAGATCAATATTCAGTTGCTTAAGTACATTTTTTTTCAGCCTTTTAAAGGGTGGAAGTGTAAACTATTATGCCAGAATATAATATCTTATTTTCAAATAAGAGAAATGGAATCATGTTTTCAATTAGGTGTATGTCTTAAACTGTACCACAGCCAAAAGGCATCCTTCCACTACTGCTCTTTTCACCAAACCCACTTGAAAGGGGAATTTAAGAGTAACCATTGTCCCCATTATCAATATTTAACTTCATCCTATAGGACTGCTTGGGCCCTATATATTACATAGCTTTCCTATAGCATTATTCATCTTAGAATTTACATACATTGAGGTTTTTTCCATCTATAAATGTAAATTCACTTCAAATTTAAGTGAAAAACTTTCTCTACTTGGCACAGATCAAAACTGAAAAAAGTCTAGCCTGCATCATTGGGCAATGCAGTGACTTAAAAGCAAGTTGTCTTACCACTGTAAATATAATGCAAGCAGTGAGTCTAAGTGACTTAACTAGAACATTAATCACATTCAGAGCTCTGAAAAATTAAGAATTTTATAGCTATAAGCAAGGCTGCTGCCAGCTTTTATCACGACAGCAAGGTGCTGGGGAAAATACTAGCCTTTAGCTCTCCCCTTTGCTCTCCGTGTTGCTTTGCATTGAAGAATTTCCAGCACATGGGCAGTTGCTCATATGCTTCCTCTTGTGCCAAAGGCAAGAGAGAAATCACCTACAGAGCCTTACAACATGGTAATGAGCATCATCTTGAAACTCTGCAACAGGGTCCATCTACTAATCTGATGTGATTCACACTGTATCCAGGGTGCAGTTCAAGGAAGATGGCAATTTAAAGTACAGCTCATATAATTCAGACTGTTTTTTAGCTACAGGGAAATAAGTACAGATCAGCAGACATTTAGGAGGTACCACCTCATGCCAAGACTGCCTTTGTGTTCTGGCTACACCATCCAGCCACATATTTTAGTGATCAGTAGAGATCAGAACAGAGGCATAAATGAAACGGTAAACATGCGTATGTACATCAGCAAGACTGGTAATGTTACCGTTAAATGGTAATGAAAATGGGATGTGGAAGAATGCCATTTACATTAGCTTTTCTCATAACTGCCTTTTGACTAGGGATAACAGTGTTTCTGTGCTTTTAAAGATACCACAAGTATTCTATAAAGAAGGATCAGAAGGATCAAGTCACACAGAAATTCATTAAAAAAATTAAGGCAGTAAAATTTGCTTGCAACGTAGAAAAAAGTCACTGTGCTTGGAAAAAAGATCTTTTAACATCACTGCTATTTTCAAGCAGCCTTTCTACAAGTTTTAGCAAAGGATGCCACAGCTACCTTGAGCTCAAGCTCTGTTTGGGGTTATGTTAGCTCAAGCAAAACATTCAGAGAACCAAAGACAGTAGTGTTGTACAAGCAGATGGGATACAGCAAGAATGGTCACTGTAGGTTTGGGTCCGAGCTACTTTTAAACTCTGAAGTCCTTAGAACCAGACAGCTGAGAACCCATATCAGTTGTTAAACAAAAATAAGGACTCCAGAGGGGTTGTGCTACTACTAATATAAAATTAGGCAAGTATTTCACCAGACCACATTTGTTTTCCCAGGACTACACTATCCTGCAAACTTTATTAGGTGACCGGTTTCAGACAGAGATCAAAGTATTGTACTATTATTTCTAGATGTGTACTTTCAGAAAGTGAATGAGGAAGTTCATTGCAGTTTGTCCCTGGATCTCCGGGATCAGAGGGAGAAGAAAAAAGAAAAACAAAGTCGTATCAGCCCCTTTGCTCATACCACGGTGTGTAAACCACACTCAAACCACTTTAACCTAAACTCACAGAAGAGATGGCAGATTGAAAAATGCAGCTGGTATCAAGAGAGACATGAGGACCTGAGCCCCCTTTCCGCACGTCCAACTGCCAAACCTCTCCTAGCTTTCCTTAGCTGTGATCACAGCTTTTTCCACTGCAAATTTGGGAACACCAAGAACAGGGTATGACGGCCTGAAATAAACAGAATACAAACAGAAGGGGCTCATGTAGTGATTGTGTTATTCATTTGTACATTTAATGAAAAAACTCCATTTGTTCAGTCATAGCTGATGAAGATTGACAGACTGCCACAGAACCCAGAACATCTGCCCAGATTGCGACAAAATTCACTGGATCACCTCCAGAGGTTCTGCCAGGATCATGCTGATTTGTAAGAAACACTGCCCAAATCTTTACATACATCAAATTTTTGTTTAGCAAAGAACTGGCTATTTCAGGCTTCTGGGATGTCTTAGTTTAAACTATTTTCTCAATATTAAATTGTTCCTTAAAAAAAAAAAGATATAAAACCAGCAAGAAATTCTATGCCAACATATTCAAGGTGAGGTTTGCTTAAATTAATGACAAGTATGTGGAAAGACAACTATTATATTACATTTCAGTCCACTGCAAACAGTAAAAATATCAAAGGTCCCAAAATTCAGTCTGATATTACTAAAACCACCACCCCTATGCTAATAGGCTAAGACATTGCATCTAATGAAATTACCCTCCCAATTTTTAAAGAAACAGTAATGTTACTAAGAACAGCACCCTAAATACACAGAACTATATTACCTAGGTAGAGTTTATTGCAAAACCAGGAAAGAGACAGCAAACTATAAGTCTGTCTTCCATTTCAGATTTGTTATCACTTGCTCAAGTTTCAGTCACTCGTGCACGCGCACACACACACGCGCGCGTAGCCTGTACACAGAGAGTTGCTAACACATTTGAGTTCCCACAGTCTCACAAGAAACTTTAAAACATTTCAGTAAAAAGTTAAAATGAGATCTTTTACCACAAGGACTATAAAATCCCCCTCCCCCCCAATTTATAAGTTTTGGATTCTAAAAACCATACACAAAAAGGAAGAGTTATTTCAGGAGCACAAAGGCTACCTCAAATATATCAAAGCAAGTCTAAGAAGAATAAATGCAACTGAAAAAAAGAATAATGAAGACCTGCATCACACACAGTCAGTGTTTTCATCAACGCTATTGATAAGCTCTAAGTCTCTGAATATAGTAGAGCATTGGTTGTTTTTGACTACCTTTTAATTCTGAAGTTACATAAAAAAAATAGTTGTAGCAATTCTTTTAAGCTGCTAGTTTGAGGAAAAAGTCCCTTTCAAAATTTCAATAAATATGCTGACATGTAAAGTTAGTTGAGGTTGTCATGCAAGACAAGTTACATAACCAAGACCAACTCAATCTTTATAATAAAGGCAACTTGCATTCAAAAATGAACTTTACCCTTACAATTTTATTCAAAGGGTAAACATGAATTAACCCAGCTGTTTACCTGAATTACAAAAGTAACATGATTCAATATGAAAATAAGAAACTGTCTACAAATCTCTGACAGTAATAAATTGCAATATACAATGCATACAGGAGTTATACAGAGCAACAAACTCTCGTACAAAACAAAAATACTTTAATACCTTTAAAATCCAATTTTTTTTTTAAAATCATCATGAAAAAAGATTTGAGTCAGAATTCACACCTCCATTAGTCAAGCTTCTGGTAGCTACATTACAGCTATTTAATATACAAAGAGATAAATCTCTTCACCAGTCATTAAAACTGCCTCTTCGTTAGAGTTGCACAGCTTTTCCGTCTCATGTTCCCAGATTCAAAGTTTTCTTCAAATCATGAGAACTGAATTTGTTGAACACCAGAGATCTAGAGAAAGAAAATGCAAGCTCACATTCAAATGCACCTTTTCTGAAACTGCATTCTCAGTTTCATCTTTCAGAACAGGGCAGCTGAATCAGCATTTGAATTTTAGCAGCAGAAGGGACAGTATGGGATGGGATACAGTACCTGTTGATACGATGTTGTATAGACCATAACATTCTGCTGTTGGCCATCTGTAGTTATTAAGCCTGCTGGTAACTGGTTAGCTGAAAGAAATAACATTTTAAGAAGGTTAGACGGGAACTGCAGGACACAGAGCCTTGTTTGATGTGTCTGTCACCATTAAATAGCATTTAGTTGTGGTCCACTCTGGGACTATAGTTCCTCTCCTGACAGCTGCATACAATCACACTTGTTACCGAGTGTTACAAGCAAACAGGTTTGTTACCATTAGCGCTTAAGAAAAAAATAAAATTCATTTTGCATCAGATAATCTAAAAGTAAGACTGCACCTTGTTCTTCCCCTGTACATATCTGAAGCAGAACATCCACAGCTGTGCACTGGCAAATGGAGTGGAGTTTGCCATCCTAACCACCAAAAAAGCAACCTCCAGCATTCAGTATACTGAGAAACCTGGAGAATTTGGATTGTTTTGTTTAGACATGAGGTCAGCATACATCTGCATGAGGAAGTCAATGAGAACATCGCGCTTCTTTATAAAACAGAATCTGTCAGGTGCCCCCTAATGTAGAAGCCCCATGAAAGGTGGTGGAGATGAACAGAGACAGGCAATGACAAAGGAACCGCCAGAGGCAGAGATATTGATAGGAAACCAAAGACCTGACATTACACTGGTTGACTTCAACCTGTCCTTCAGGGTATTGCACAAAAGCTCTGAATTTCAGAGAGGAAAGAGGAGGCCAAGGAACAGAGTAAAAAGTACTTTTGAGATTCAGAGAGAAAAGACAAGGAGTGATGCTCCAAGATAAACCTTTACAATCACATGTACGTTGAGCTCTGCAACATTCAGAGTAGATAATGTTACAACTGCTACTTGGAAGCAAAGAAGCAAAACTCTTAAGTTCTAACTTAAGTCACAGTAGCAGAACATTCTCAGCTAGGGGACAAACAATGGAGCTTTTTCTTTCTGAAGTATGGCTGTTACTATGTATAAATAAGACCTATAACACAAAAAAAACCTGAAAACACAGTATAATGCTAACAACTTTCACATGAAAGCTGATGCTTGGGGGTTTTTAAATCGGGTTTTTGGTTGTTTGGGGTTTTTTTTCCTACTTTCATTGTACTCCTTTTCAAATACTCAAGTTTCAAGTTAAGAGATGCCTTAAGATCACAGGGAGAAGTGGCTCTGCCAGGTCCACAATTTTACTACCCTTCAATGCACGTGTTCCACACCTGACAGTTTAATGCCAAGCCTCTGACCCAGCCTTAGGCTTAGACAAAGAGCTAGGGGTTATGCCACAGTAGCACAGCTATTATGGCTACTGCTGCAGTGAGACCAACGTTCTGAATAGATCTACAGCTGCCCCTGTGGAGAGAAATACCTGCAGCACTTGACATGATCAGTTATTTCACAAATGTTTTTTTCCTTCTTCTTCTACTACTGCAACATCTCCTTTGCATCTTGCGAAGACTTAATATTTGCTTCCAAAGTTGCTCTTTTCAAATCACAGGAAATTAAGACTTATTTCATGGAGCACACTGAGGCTCCCAAGCCTGAGATATTTGAACCAGTAAGTGACTAGGAGCACATCTTCAGCCTTCTGCCATTAAACAGGGACCACATCAAATTTGGGAAGGGGACAGAGAATCCACAGATGTAAGGAGATTCATTTTTTATGGTTTCCATTTTCTGGTGGGCATTGTTCTCAGGCTAAGCAGAGCATGAGCATCCAGTGGAGAAACTTCTTGTGAATTTGCCTCTTTGCTCATACAAAACAAAATTCTGGACACAGATACAATCATTAGTTTCCAACTAAATATTCTCCCTCAACTCTTCAGCTGCAGTTTAAATGCTTGAGGTGCAAATCAGAATATATACAAAACAAAGTTTTAGAACAATTTCTATATATTGATTTGACAAGCTTCCAAGCTGGACAGACTCCCAACAGCTGCAATCCAGAAACCACTGGCAACATACCCAAGGCATGTAAGGGGGGCCTATAGTTGTGTTAGTGTCTTACTACTTCTGAACCAGAGCTATTCCGTATGAGTGACCACAGATGAGAGTTTACTACTTGCGTTGCCTAATCTTCAATTATAAAATTAGAATAATAATATTTTAAAAAAAAAAGCTTTCTTTAAGCCCCTTGCAAGATTCAAGTTTGGATTCTTAATTTCCAGTGAGTTTTGTGAGCTTATAATCCACGCTAGGAGAGATCTGAAGAGCCTGTATTGCTTTATATAGCCAAAGTCATCATACTGGGACCAAAGCGTGTTTCAGACCCTGAACAGGTCATTTCAGTCTCTGGGCTTTGAATTTTTTCTAGTTCAGTAGTTTACCAGTGATTTTAAACAGAAGATTTATCAGATACTTGAAAAACTAAGTCTCATCACTAGGTACTACTAAAGCTGCACCTCCTAATTCTTTGTGTACCAGCTTCAAGATTACCAGCCCATAGCATTAAAAAGCCAAGGTGAAGACTACATACAAGAATCCAGCATCAACAAAACCAACACAAAGTCCCAACAACTATCAGGCTTTAATTCACAGTATAAGAAAGAAAAACTACAGTGAATGCATATGATACTCCTTGCCCTACACCTTTTAGTTGCCAATCTGTGCATTCTATTGATTATAAGAAATACTAAGTGTTTTAGAATTGTATGAGGATGATGTTCTTCTCTGGCTCATTTCTCAAAGACGAGCTCCTCAAGTCATCAAGTGGAGTTTATTTTACTTTTTCCCCAACAGTCTTGCAAGAACGAATGTGGCCTAAATACATAGCTACTGGGGGATAAGAAAAAAAAAAAAGAAAAACGGTTGCACCTTTCATTACCATCTAAGTGTAGAGAAAAAAATACCGGCAGTAATGTATGCATTTACAAATCTTCCACAGTTGACATAAGCTGTTACTAGAGTGTCATCACTTATCACTATATTACTTCATTCTGACCATAAATTCTACTGACTGGGAGGAGTTTATGTGAGCATAAGTTGTCCTCCAATATCACAAATGAAAATCTCAGTGGATCACAGGTGTAACATATGTCCAATCCAGGATGTATCCCTCAAGTAAGAATTCTGATGTCTAAAGGAACTGCTGTTTTTAGAAAAGCCATAGTAATAATATAATAAATTTAAAAGTTTTACTTACTAAATGCTTCCTCTGTGAGCTCCTCACTTAGACCGTCTCCAGTTGTAACTGTTCCCCCAACTCCCTTTTCTCCTTTCATTGCCTGAAGGGAAAAAAAAAAAAAGTATTAGAGTACAGTTGGCTTGAGATTGTTTCAAGACTCCAGAAGCTCTAGCCAAGGTTTGGAACTTGCAGAAGAGTCACTGTGCAGCGGCTGGAGTTGAAATCCAAGACCTGTAAAACTCTATTGGATTTAAGAACATGCATAGTATAAGAACATATGAAGAGTGTTTTTCATCTTAGCCATACTCCTCAGAAACAAAAACTCTGCAAACTAGGATTGTGTAGTTCCAAGAAAGGCTTTCACCTTCTGCAGTTGTAGATCTGCAGTAATCCAGAAGGAGCAGTTAAGAGTGTTTACAAGAAATCAGAATCTCAGAACTACCAAGAATGTGCAACATTTACTTACCAACCATACATGAGTGCCATCATCATACAATTTAGAGTTGACATTTAAAACCAAGATATTGGATTTCTTTTCCCACATCAAGGACTACAGCCAGAAAGGATATCAGCACAGAAAGCCAAGGCTCCCAGTCATCTGCATGCAGTTTCACAAGTATGAAGTTTGATGCTCTATGCTATCTATACATATCTATATATGTAGAAAAAGTATTCTCTGCAAATGCTTGATATAGACTAAATACTAAGCTACAAAACATAAATATTTCACTATATATGGTACCCTGAAGACAGAACTAGCTGAAATGGAGGTTTAAAACTGATGAGCAAAACCATTCAGCTCATCCATCCAATTAAAACCCAGCCCCATTACTCTGCTACCACAGCATATAATATCTGCAAAAATGGTCACTTCAGAATGAAGGTAGCATACACCCACTTCAAACTTCTCCAGAAGTACTGAAACTAGTGAGGCACTACTTGCATTTTTAATTAAAGCACATACAGCACTCTGATGGCATGTGCAACTGCTACACAGAACTTGAGAAAGATAGCACACAGTGGTACTTCAACTTTCAGGTCACACCTCCTGTTACTCAGTTAACACAGCAAACGACCTTCAGGGAAGGGGAAGCTTCAAGAGCTATCAGCAAATTAAATACCACTAGCAAGTCTGACCCCATTAATTAAGAAACTTAGGTTTACAGAACAAAGAAAGACTGACGAGCATCTTTATCTACAACACTGCCAATTTAGACCTACCTGCTTCACTCATACCAGGAGAACCAAGCAGCCATACCAACAGAGGGATTCACATTTTAAAAAAAAGTGCTTTGAGGTTTTTTTTCTCATTCAGGAGTATGAGGAAGAGAGGTCATTGGGTAAAAACACCTATGATTTGTTTGGTTAAATCTGGTATTCTGAGGTAAAAGAACACCAAAGTAAAGAAGCAAGCAAGCATAATTGTCTTTGGTTTCCAGACAGGAGGTGGGAGAATGGGAGACCAGAACAAACAAACAAAAAAAAGCAGAAGCACTTTTTAAAAAAGTTTAAATCACTGCAAGAAAAAAAAAACAAAAACACCAAAACACCTCACTTTCCACTAAAGAAGGAATACATTAAAATGCTTGGATCACATGCCTAGCATGTACTATATATCAAAAGCAGGCTAACAAACAGATTAAAAAAAAAACCCAACATTGAAGCAGATAGCCTCCCAAGCAAATCATTATTCCTACATGAGAAAACCAACTTTTTCTTTTGCAGATCTGAAATCCAGACAAAACAACAGGCATTAGGCTAATTCCTCACAGGACGCAGTCTAGTACAGTTTTATTGATTGAATCCAAAGATCGAATTAAGTATTCTTAATAGGCACCTTTAAAGAACAGAGTGATTTACTACCAGCAATATATTAGAGAATTTATTCAGCTGAAAGCTTGAACTACTTTGCGTCAGCAAGTTTAATCAAAATGCTTACTTACTCCTTTTTCTCTTCATATCCTCAGGAATGCTTTTAAACATCACATTAGTTCCTAACAATAGCTGTGAGATACTGTGCAAGTTATCCATTATACAATTACAATGACAAGGAGCTAAGGATAAATGCAACCAGGTTAAATAAATGAGGATACTGAAGTATATACCAACCTCTCTGAATTTTTGGAGGTATAACTTCAAAGGTTCAACATAGCTATCGAACCCCAAGGTAGACATGGCAAAGAGAATATCCTCTCCATTGATGGTCTTTCTTTTCTCTTGGTGACACCTCTCACTTGCTTCTGATGTTATAAAGCTGATGAATTCACTTACACACTCTTGCACACATTCCTTTGCATCCTTAGCAATCTAGTAAGGCAAAAGTAATATAAAATGATTAATCAAGATGCAAGAAAATTAAAAAAACCACAGCTAAAGAATACACTAGATAATAAAGGAAACATCCCCAAACCTGATGATGATGCCCATTTAGGCAACACCTGTATGTGAGGGAACCACTGGATGTCATTACTGCTCTATGAAAGCACAGCTGCAACATGATTTTAACCTAACTTTTACTATTTCAAGCAGCACAGCCAACTACCAGGAACTCCTGAAGTCACAACTATGTTCTGTACAAGCTTTTACATATAGACGCATCCCAGTATTGCTTACTTTGCTTACCTACGCCTTCTCTTTAAATTCATTACAATTCAGAGCCCACTTCCATTTTCCTTTTAATAGACCCAGCAGTTCCAACCCCACTGCAGTACATTCCCACAAATTTGACAATGGCTAGTATTTTTATCCTGATTAGATTCAGGGACTAGAATATGTGTCTAGCTGCAAGGCTCTCTAATGCTTTAATATTCTGGTATAAATTTTCCAAATGAGAATTCAAATGAAGAAATACAGGCCCCTGGCAAGAACAAAATAAGTAAATTTGATTATGGTTTTCAGCTGGACAAAAGTAATTTACCTGACTTAAAATAACAGCAAGCATTACTCATGATTATTTGGGAAGCTGACAGGAGACAACTGAAAGACCATAATAGTCAAGATTCTTATTCTTTATATGAGAAGAACCTGTTTGCATTTAAAAAAAAAAAAAATCAAGCAGTAACCATATGTAGAATCTTTACTAGTTCCTCTGATATCGTCACACATGGAGGGCGAGATTTTTCAGAAGTACTCATCACCCAGCAGCTTCCCTTGCAGTTTTTCACAAAAACCTCCCTGATTTTTCAAGATAGCTCGACATCCCATATGATAAATTCTTTAAAAAAATCTCATTTGATCACTCAAAATTTATGACAATATGGACTAGTGAAGAGATTTTCACAGCAAAGATATAAATGTAACACCCTGATCTCCGTAAAGCCCTGAACACTATGAAAGTATAACCAGATGCAAGTAAATTATGTCTTGCTTCTATTTAAGAGTGATTAAAAAAAAAATAAAAGAAAAAAAAGAAATCAGCTTTAGCTAGAGGAAATGTTACTGGGGCAGGAATTGTATCGGAATACAATAGAGAAACTACAAGCAATACGCGCCCTGCAAAGGTTTAAGATAAACAGGTAGAACGGTCGAACGCTTATACAATCACCAGCTCAGCAGAATGGATTAAAAAGTCCATTAGAAGAAATGAAATAAATCTTTCAATATCTGTCCTTATCTCCTACATGGTATAAGGCAGACTTCTTAGGTCATTTTGGCATTTGGATATGTAAAGACCGGGCGACAGAAGACTAACCATCCTCTTTCCTTCAGGATGAGGACTGGATTTTTACTTCTTCCAAAATGGTTCCCTTATTCCAAATTTTATGCACCTCAATAAAAGCAGATTAAATTTCTTAAGAGAGAATTGCATAGAAAATATTCTTACCAATATGGGAATGTCACCAAGTCTGACCCATTATGACAGTTTCAGATAACGCATCTTAGAAAAAGAAAGCTCTTGAAATCTTTGTGAAGAGCACTGTTCTAATACTCTAATTATGTCAGTTACTAAAAGCTTTCAGAAACCTAAGAAAAATGGACTTGCTCTCAATCCCCTCCTGCTCATATATTTTTTCTTTTATTTTCTAAGGCTTTTCTCCAATAACCCAGGATCATTTGGAAAAACATATTGTTCTACCAGCTCAAGTTCACTCAGAGAAAGGAATAAAACTCATTAACACATTTTCTTTACCAGACAAGGGTATTACCTTTCCTGTTTGGGGTATGGCATTTTTCATTATCCTTGCCACATTTGCAATTGGAAGATATATATCTTGTTCTCTAAAACTCTCTTTTGAGCCATTTGTATCTTCGTGGTCATTCATGCTGTCCTCTGTGTCTAATGAAATAAAGAAAAGTTAACAGAAATTGTATTTGATAGACAGCAGGCAATAATTAAGTCAGTTCAAAATCTTACACTGAAGGATTAAGACCTTTGAAAGCACTGTGTATTAACATCACAGAAACAATTTTAAAAGTAGATGTAACACCAGGCTACCTTTATGGGCGTTCAGTATCATCTTTATGACACTATGCACAGAAATGTACGTGGCTGCTGAACACCTAGCATTCTTAATGTCACGTCAAAATAAAAATTGTTTCCTAGAACATCAATTTTTTTTGGTCATCACCCTGAAGGACTCGTGTCAACACTGACAAATCGAACCTCCACCTTCAGACTGCAGAAAAAATGCTTTATGGAGTGAGGCATTATGAACACAAACAAGTACAAATTATTAGCTTGACAGAAGAGAAAAATATATATATTTCCTTCCAGTTCTTGTATATGTGTGTGTGTGTATATATATATATATATATACACACACGCAGAGAGAAATAGTAGTATTTACTGTTACATTTCTTACCATCATGAGGCTGTATCACATAATGACTGCCACCAATGTAATCTCCAGCAATTCCTAACTGAGAAGCATCCGTTGTGGAGCTATCACCATCCATCTACAACCAGAAGAATGAAAACTTTCAGGTGTCTGTTACACTGTAAGTGCAGCTATTGCTGAAAAACAGCACGTTAATCAACTTAGAACTAAGAGACCAACTTATACAAAGTACAAATATTTTGCCATCTGAGAACAGTATACTCTCTTGTTACTGAGCTTTACTTACAGTGAAAATAGTTAAGCTCTTGTAAAGCTTCCCCATAACTTCAACCAGAGGCACAGAAACATTTGGTTCATGCAGCACAACACCTTGTGTCACTCCCATGAGAGTCTGACCAGAACAGGTCAAGGCATCTGTTTCCCTGAACAACCCTCAAAACCTAACACCAGCACACTGCTTTACCCACAATTATTACACTGAGCATATCCTTCACTCCCTATTACCCTCCACCCCAACAGCTTTGGTCAATCCCACTGACCAGCTTTTCCTAGCCAGACCTCAGGACCAGCTCTGCATATTCATCCTCCCTGAGGCATCAGTCACTCCTAGATGTCTTCAAAGTCACGTTTTCCTTTGCTTTCCCTGCTTCTGTCCCACCTCACTTCTCTGGGCATCCTTCAGTGCTCCTCTCGGAACATTCTTATGTGGTGGCCAACAAGAAGTATTTGCCTCAAGGCTTTAGAGAGTGGGTCACAGTTTAATAAGTAATTTGACTGCCAGAAGAGAGAAGCCAAGAGAGGCAGCGCTTCCCTCCCTGGTTAGGGATCTTTGCCCCAGGAGGTACCAACCACATTTCACCTGGAGGAGTCTGGGAGAATCTTGCCCTTCCTGCTTTCCCTCTTCCAACACAGGCAAAACTACAGAGATCAGCAGCAGCCATTTGCTGGTAAGTCTCAATGTTTGCTAGAAAATCTACTTTGTCAATGAGTAAAGAGGTCTCATAGTGCTGCTCCGAAGGGAGACTGTGGCCCAGAGAGCCCTTGTCAGCCTGCTGTCTCAGTACTCGAAGACATCGCATGGATCACACCTCGTCGTTCTGCAGAGGTGAAAGAGGTGGAGACGCCTTCTCAGTCCCTTGGAAGTTCACACCTCTTTAGTGAAGACTTGCCACAACAGCAACACAACACATCCCTGCCTTTTTCCCCTACATTTTGCCACAGTACACAACGCACAGATTTACGTGCATTCTTGCAACACCAAATGCTCCAGTCCATGTAACCTGTTACCTACCATATTACATTTTGCCTTTTTACAGAAATAACAAATTTCCTTAAACACTATCACCAGGTGCTCAGCAGAAAGATCAGACCTATACAGAATCATGGCAGACAACAGTTTCACCTCCAAAGGGGATATTTTAGCAGTGACAAACCTAAGTTTGAATTCAAGTCTCCAGGTTTTTTAAACTTTTGGACAATCTTGACTTTTTTCTAGTTGCAAGTGTCTTGAAAATCAGTATATTAAAAATAAACTTTTGCAGAACATCTAGCTCCCATACTTCCAAAATGTCCTTTTTTTTTTCTTCCCAGCTAAGGTTGTATTTTTGCAGTCGTGCTTTAATAATGCTTCTTTTGCAGAGAGGAAACAATGCAAGAATTAGGGAGGGAGAAGGGGTTCCCAGCACATGCAAACGCTTTGAACGCTGGCACGCAAAGACTTTTAACACATTTAGATGCACAGCACCAGATTTGCCTTTGCCCCAAATTTTCTCAGCTATGTTTAACATCAAATAAGCAAATGCTAACAGAGATGTTTACCTGTTTGCCAGGAAATTAGCTCTTCTGTTCCTATCCTACACTTCATGTAGTTCCTTCTCTGGACAAGTGCTTCCAATCCTTCCCCCTTCCCACCCCATCTGTTTCCAACCCAAGCAGCCAGCCTTACTGACAAGCTACACACACAGCCCCCTGGGAGGCAGAACCTGCCTCCATTCACTCGCTGACCTACACCAGCTGTGCAGGTACCTGGGTGTCTTTGGAAAACAACCTCTGCCCCAAAGGGTCGCGTGGCCATCGTTGGTGAGACCATGCAGCTCACTTCTTCCAGAATCATTAGCCTGAAGAGGGAGAGTGAGGGAGAAGCAATCATGTGCTATTTTTATACCTACCCAGAAATATGAGCAATTTAACCTCTCTCTAATCTGCACTTTGCCTGTGGCCACAGGGCTGGGTTTTGCTTTCAAACCTTCAGGCAACATCCGGTGCTGTGCCTGGCCACAGATGCACCCGTAACCCAAGCGCTGCTTGCATTCAAGGCAATACTACAACAGCTGGATATAGCTTTAGGAGCTGCTTAAGCTAAAAAATACTCTTTACCTCTCCTTCATTGTACAGAACATTACACACATTGCTTTTTTTAAAGCACTTCTGGTCCCTTTTGAAGCTTGTGTAAAACAGTTTTGCTTCTTACACATCACCTCTGCCCAAAGGAAGGGTAGTGTTTTAAGCATTAGCTTTCCACATGCCAACTTCACATAGATTTGCTTTGTCTGCATTTTGCAGACTCTTTGTTAGGAAACTTAACTTTGCTTTTCAATTTTCCAAAGGGTCTGCAGTTTATTTACTCAGCTTGCTGTAATGACAATGCAAGAATATCACAATCCTGCATGTCAAGATCACCTAAACTGACATCACCCATCATTAAGAGAGTTGTCTATCTCTTTTCCTTTTGCAATTTGAAGCAATTAACATTCTGCAGTCCAGTAAATCCCAAAAGCTACCCCCAAAATAAAGTTTGGATTTTCTGGCAGTCTTGTTCTCAGTTTTGGCTCTCTGATCCTTACTAGAATTTAACTCAGAATTATGGTCTCCACAAACTTCAAGCATTAAGTTCACTAAGCCTCAATACTATTTTAAATGCCTTGGTATTTCTTCCCTCTCCTTTTTCAGTCTTCTATGAACCATACCTGCTAAAATGTTCCCTTCTTTCAGGATTGCAATATTCTTCAAATTTCTGCAGTGATGTGATAATTCACTGGTTTCTGCTCACCCGTCCTGCAGGCTACCCCCCATCTGAATCTTTATTGCCAAGACCCAGAAATATCATTTAAGAAAACATCTTGCTTTCATTAATCCAGCTCACCTTCAAAAGGCAATTTCTGCTTGAATCTCTTTTAAACCTCTGCTGCATCTGTAGACAGTTTTGGCCATATTAGATTAATGCATCCTCAAGGCACTACCTTTGCTTTTATTCTTTTCTGCATGCACATTTCCATATCTACTTACTGTATGTATTATTTCACAATTAGTGAGAATTTGAGTGCAAGCTTATCAACATTATGAATCTAACACAGTGATTAGCAAAATTGACAGGAAAAGGCTTGCAAAAGAAAAAGATCTGTCTCAGATAAAGAAAGCAGCCACTGACAGCTTAACATCAACTGAAATTACTTCTGTGGGTATCACTTTAAGAAAGATTTTTAGCTGCCAGGACAACATTGGGACAGGGGATTATAGACAGCACCCTTCTACATAACGCTTAGGATAACCAGGTCCTAATCCAGGTTCACAGGATAATTCAGGATGGAACGGCCTCAGGAGGGTCAGCTCTGAGCTCAGAGTGGGTCACTCAGGGCTCTATCCAGCCATGTCTTGAAGATCTCCATGGACAGAGCCTGCCCAGCTGCCCTGGTAGCCTCTTCCACTGCTTGGCTGGCCTTGGAGTGAGAAAAGGAGCAGCATCTCTCAAGTAAGTTTGATGGAAGAATTCCAGTCAGATTTAATCTTGCCATTTAATTGAAATCTAGATCTAGGTGTCTGAATATTAGCAACTGTAATTAATACACCATCTAGTCACCCTATTAGTATTTCTTTGAGCCCAATGGATTACTCAAACATGATCCTTTCTAAAAATGTGGCCGCTGCTATCCTAGTCATCTCATCGTCCCTGAAGTTACTCTAAAAGAGGCAGTAGTCCAATCCAGCATAGAAGCAACACCCTGCCTGCAGTAACTGCAGTCACTGGGAGACTAACAGGATGACAGTTCTTAGACTTAGTAGGAAAGGAGAGACTTCTTTGGACTGAAGGAGACACTAGATTTTATAAGCAGGCAGAATCCTGGGAGATCTAATCCTAGAAGGTACAGGAGGGCAAAACCTCTCCTCTCAGCTTTCGCTTTAGCCCCTGGAGCTCTTACAACTTGCTTTAAAGAAAAGCACCTATTTGCAGACTATACATCTTATTTGCATAGCAGTTTCAGCACGCAGACACTGCAGCTCTCAATACAAGACAGTGTATCTTTCACCTGTGCAGCTACCAAATCACACAAGTGAAGAGGGATTCCAACACATTGGTCTAGTAGCACATACTACACAAATCTGCAAGAAGCACTTACTTGCCTGTTGTACATTATTCTTAGCCTGCAGAGCTAGGAAAACACTGAAGCTCCACCACACATACACATATTGACTGAACCAAGACCAGGAGCTGAGCGTTATCAGAAGTGACAATGTCAGTCTCTAAAGTGACCATGCCCCCATCTGATTTTTATCAACGAGGGAGAGAAATCAAATAAGTATAGGACAATCAACCTAAATATGCAGTGATACACTGCAAAAAGCATTTGAATGCAGAGCAGCAGCACAAAGTTTTCTGGTGGTGGTTTTCTGGGTTTGATTTTTTTTTTTAAACTCTGATGAAAAAGAATATTACCAGGAATATACACTTAATGAATCCACATAAATTAACCTGAGAAGTATGTTAAAACAGAAACATTTCAGATCAAGAGCATCAAAGAAAATTCAGTGATAAGATGCAAGTGAATTAACTTACAGGTTTACACTGACATCTGGTAGAAAATTTTCTGGAGGATGCTTAAAAAAGAATATGCTTCTGTCAGCTGCCCACAACTCACACTGTTCCTAGAATACATCTATACTGAATTAATAAAGCCTCAGTATCTCAAAGTAAATCTTGCATCCTGTTTAATCTGAAGAGCTCTCCTATGAGAGCAGTACCAGTGGCTCAGCTAAATGATAACTAAAGAATGAAGGCTCAGACCCGTCAGCACTGAGGAAGGGCCTAAAACTTAGATTGGTATAAAAGGAAAAAATAGAATCAAAGAAACAAGATTTGGTTTTCAGAATGAGGAATTTATCTGGCAATGATTTGCAAAATCGGTATCTTGAGGGGTAACCAAAGGTCTCTTGTGATTTAAGCACTTCACATGGTATTTATCCATCCTGCCTCCCAAAACTGCTACCCTACAAAAGGGACGGTGGAAAATGGTATGCAAGGAACTGAAGCACTTGGAACACTTTCCACGCAGTTGTCCCTGCCACAGAACCAGGACAGAAATTATAATAAAGCTGTAGGTAGTAACCACATCTGTCACCGTAGATGAATTTTGTCAGCACACCTTATCACAAGAGATATACAGCTCTAAAGCAGTACGTAACAGCAGAGGCAAGAAAGTTTTATTTGACCTTTCTGCACCCTCACTTGCTGCTCCTATACAAAAACTCAAAAATAATTTTAAATTTAAAATACAATTTTAATTTCCTTTTATTTTTCAATTACTTCTGGAGAACCTAATTTCCCACTGAATTCTCACCAGGCAGCAAAGCAGTTTCTCCTCCAGCAAGAAACACCAACTGGTAAATGCATTCACGGGACACACGACAACATTCCAGCAGATCCACAAAAATACAAAGTTAAAGCCCCATAGCATGTACCTAGAACACAAACATACGCTGCATGGTCTATCTCCCACATTCAGTGTTTTCCCCCACAGCAGAATAACATTAGGAGCAGCAGACTGATACTGAGAGGACCTGACAGCACCACTAAGGCTCGTTAGCATCTATCCTGTACCAGGCTCCTTCCCCTGGGCCTTTCCCTTACAAAATCCAGACAAGGCCTTTTCACCTTTCCACCTTCCCCCTCCACGTACAAGTACTGTCAGCTTTATGGTGCATCTCACAACACATGATGTCACCATCCACAAGTCCGCTCCACCTGGATCCAACTGTGCTAGAGTATGTGATGGCTCCTTACTAGGCTGGGTAACCGTTCACAAGCATGGTTAGCTGCAACATATATGGGTGGACTAACAACGCATACATTTTTTACATCAAGTAGGAGTGATCAGTGATATGGAGCAAGCAGGAGAAACTGAGTTTCCATGCCTGCTATTTTGTAGCAGTAAAAGAGAGAAGCTGGAGGGGAAAAAAACCTGACATGAGCTGAGGAACGGAGGCAGCTTTGCTGCTTTTGCAGAGGCTGAAAGAGGGCAGCAGTGCTGAACAGACTGCACCAGCACCTCCTTCCTCCTGCAACACTGACTGAAAGCCCCATATTGCCTTTCCATATTAAGGTTTTGATGCTTTTCTAGCTTTTTTTTTTTTTGTTAAAAACTAAGCACACCTGTTTATTAAAGAAGCAATCCATAAATCCCGCCTTTTTCTTTTACAGGTCTGATAGCATTTTTAGTTGGTTATGTTCTTCCTTCATTGCAGTAGTATATCACATGTGCCAAGAAGTTTATTCCTCTCAAGCAACAGAGCAAGTAAGAGTTTTACAAAGTTAGTTCAGACCAGGCCAGTATTTTCAGTCAGAATTATCAAATTTGCTGACACTTCCATTTATTCTACCAATGTTATTTAGTTGCATTGTTATTTAGTTATGATGTTGTTTAGTATGTGTATATATAGAGACATGTTTTGCACTTTGTACAACATCCTGCCACTAAAACATCAATTTCCAAATACCATGTTTCTCTGAAGTACTATTGCAAAACTCAGGACTGAAAAGCCAGGTTTCTTTCTAAGCAAAATTTTAAAGGTGAAATGACATGAGAGATTTGCATTTGAAAGCACTAAAGGAAGAACCTTGCAAGTCTTTTAAAAATGTTGCTAAAATAAGGTATCTGGCTCTTAAAAGTTTCATAGTATTTCAGATTTCCTATCTTCACAGTACCTTGAACAATCTTTTTCACTCAGCTTCCGTACACTGCCTCCCTTTGTGTAATTATTACCACAAATAAGAGGTTATCTATTAAACTTTGAACTGCTGTAACTGTCAAATATTAAAGTCTAAAGAGTACTATCCAGTATTCTTGACTTCTCTCAAATATAATTTCATAGCTGTAAATACTAGCAGCCAAGACCATACATAATCACCTGCTCAACGCAGAGCACAAGCAACTCAGACTCATAAATAACGATTCACATTAAACCATCTTGGGTCTCCCAGAGAATTACAGATGGATCCTTCCTTAACATTATAACTGTCATGCCATAAGCCACATAAGCAAAGAAAAAAATAAAAAGTCATCACTAAGCTTATTTTTTTAAGAACGCTATGCTAATGATTATGCATAAACACCATTTCTCCATTCCTGCAAGCCAATTAAAGCCAGACTGTGAATAACGTGCAAAACAGCTCCTTCCATTTTGCTTTTTGCTACTATTTTGTATGAGCTTCTTCTGAGAAAGCTGTAATTTTTTTTAATGGACAATAACGTCCCTCTATCAGCAAGATAGGCAAAGGTTACTACATGCAAGAGAACCCATTTAAAGGCTGAAATCCAGATTTCTACATCCCTCACTGCCTAGAGATGTTCAGGTCATTGTTATAAATTATTTTGCCTTCCTAAAAGCAATCCAAGCACACTAGGTGGCTTTTACATGACAGTTCTTTGCAGAACAAAAGCGTTTTGGTTAAGCCTGAAAGAAATTGGTAAAGCTGGATGTTGACCGATTTTCTATTACTGCAGTAGTACAGCAGGACCTAGGAAGGTTTCTTTAACCAGTGTATCTTAATAGCTGCAGAAACATTACTACAGAACATGACTTTTGTTTGTTTTCCAGCATGATTGTCTGTGAATAACCTACACAATACCCTTCAGGATCACCAACTACATGATTTCTGGATGGAGCAGTGGCTGGCATTCACAAGTATGCTCAAGAACAGTTGCCAAACACACAAGAGTTGTTTAGACACTGAGAACGGCAGAGCCCCTTCTCTCTCCTACCTGCCACGTGTGTTACGGGGTAAGCCATTGATGCTGCTCTGCTGTGCCAGCTGATTGATCTCGCTTCCCGATTTCATGCCCTTCAATGATGCCACAGAAGACAACCCAGGGGCAGGGGGGAGAAAACCTTCTTATTTACACAAATAGCCTCAAAGTCTTCCTTGCACCTAGCTCCCATCTGTTCCATAGATACCTCACCTATCGCCATTCTGCGTTTTCAAATCGAAAGGAGAAGACATCCCCATTTAGC